ATTTATTATACGCGTTTCTTGTTCACCGCGAGAAGCAAAAAGAAGGTTGCCGCGCCGAGGCTGGATAGCAGGACTCGTCGAATCCACGGGGAAGGGTTTTAATATATAGTCAATGGAATAATCTAATATTTTCTTTGTGCGGATTTATCTTTATTGGCGAGTTTTAATGGTTCGTTGAGCGTTTTCATTTGGAATTTGTTGTTCGTCTTTTGGATCGTTAGGAATTTCTATGGGAATTGTTGATAGTTTTTGAAGCTTGCTTTTTTCACTTGACGAGCGTTTCGAAATGTGATTTGGAATCTGATTGGTGTTCGTGTTTTGGACCTGTAGGAATTTCTATGGGAATAATTGATGGTTTTCGGATTTTAGTTTTTGATATGCTCATTTTTGCGGATTAGAAAATACTTCGGCTTTTAATTGAACCGAGGTCACTCGAATTTTCTGTAGTTACAATAAACCATCGCGCCGAATCTGTTTTCTACGGTTCGCCGGTTCGATTTGTGGGCTCCCTTTCAGGAAGTTATTGAAACTTTTGTGTAAACGGCGGAGCGGTCTAGTGAATAGACCCAACGAGGAACTTCGTAGCCCAATTGTTGGAATTTTTTTGTTTTTCCGAATCCACTTTAGATTTTGTTGCAATGGATCCCGTCGGGCCGCAACTGTTCGTTGGAAAGGCTCTTCAAACTTTTAAGTGTGGATCCCTCAGCTGTTCTCTCTGTCTCTCCGCGACGGAGGGATTCCGCGAATAAAATTGATGAGGAAGAACTTCGTAGCACAGTTTTGAGAACCTTCGAGTGATCATTGTCTCGAATTATCGGAGAACTGAGCCGATCGTTTCTCATTCATTTCGTTGATCGGTCTGCAGACAATCCGCATTATCATGTCGATTCCAAAGTTTAACAACTTTCCAGTTTTCTCAGACATATTTGCTTAATATACTTCCATTATGTCCGTCGTAAACAATGAACAACAGAAATTTCATTATCGAAACCAAAAAGACAACTAATACACGTCGAATCTGAAGCTTCCACAAACTAAAACCTTTACTACCTTCTGGACGAATGTCGTCATTCGGAGAAGAAATTTTCTTAATTGGAATACTAAGTCGCAAACAAGTGATTTAATTGCTCGAACAGCAAGAGATCGGTACATAGCTCCCTCTTCTTCATTTAAACAATCTATACATAATTTAGCTTCATCCGCTAAAGGTTTCGTATATTTTAAAGAACCTGCGTCCGCAAAGGGTTAAATATTGAAAAATTCCTCCCAAAGAAATCAAATTTTCACGAAGCTCCGCGATCTAAGAAATAAACAAGGAGAGCAGAACAGTCCCTAACGATTCGTGCACACCACTAAACACGGCTTTCGTAACGAAACAGGGGAAAGATAGCGCGGCGGTTCGCTGTAAAAAAACTAGCTGCAATAAAATGTCCCATGGTTATCCGCAAAGAAACCCGATAGTATGGAACATACGGGTTCCAGCGGGTCTATTCGTAATGATTTTTCGTGGCCTTCGATAAATCGAGTGCGTCATTCTGATATTCAAATGAGCCAGGGACACCAACCGCGAAGATAGGCACGGAGAGACAGCGATGGGGAAGAGAGAGACAACGACATGGGAAAAGAGGGACCGAGAGAGAGTGAGAAAGAGAGAGACGGCGATCGGAGAGGGGGAAGAGGAGAGAGGAGAGGCGAAGAGGAAGAGAGAGGGAAGAGGAATAGAGAATGACTGCACTCAGGTCCTTTCGTTACGGAGCGGAGCCGCGGTCAATGGCTGCGGTATCCGCAGGTTCAAGGAAAGCGGGCTGGTCCGATTCGACACCGTGTCGTTCTGGGGGAACTGAACAGGTGACGCGCTCGTGAAAATGCAGGTTAATAGAATACTGTCTAGATAGAAAAGTCTCGGTATTACCGGCACGCGTCCTCCTATGGTGGAACGTTCCACAACGTTCGAAAACGTTTCCCCTGTCCCGTCATCAGTCGACGTTTCTAGCGAGATTTTAATCACGAGGAAGCGTAGAAATCGTGTTCCAGTAACTGAACGGGTCAAACTAGTTTTAAAGTCGTTTCTGTTTGGAAATGTGTATTTTTGGTTTTAATGTTATCTCCGTCGCACCGTGGGGTTCGTGCTTTCGATGATGATATATGTTATGTTTGTACTGTCGTTATAGGACATAATTGATGAGTGGATAGTTACATTTTTTGAATTTCGATTCTTGGAATATTCGACTGTTTCGGGTTTCAAAAATTTTCAATAACTCGAATGTCTCGGAATAACTTTGAAAAGTTCGAATATTTCGAAGTCAGACAATTTTCGGAAATTCTCGATCTTTGGAATCCAGACGATTTTTGAACATTCGAATGTTCGGAATTCGAGTAGTTTTCAAACATTCTAGGTACTTCGTATAATTCGAACGATTTTGAACGGTTTCGAATTGTAACGATTTCGGGAAATGTTCAAGATTCCACTTGACACTGTGACTCATTGTTAACCGCTGTTTGTACAATCTTCTCCCGCGCGACGAGATGATAATTTACGATCGAATCCGGCACGCATGAAAGGCAGCGAGTACAGGCGATCAACTTTCATTTACTCGAGCTGCGCAAGGTGCTCCAAATTTTCGGTCGACGGTGCAGATGGGAACGCCTCCCGTTTGATGAGATTCCGAGCGGTCAAGGATGCTCGGCCGGTCGTCGAAATGGGGACGATAACCGCGGGACATGGAATCGTACTCTAGAAGCGAATTGTTTCGTAGCCATGGCCGCCTATTGCCGCAACAAATCTCATTGTTGCCGGCTCTTTCGTAACCGTGTAAACGTGTTCGGGACGCACTTTGCACCCGAGCAGCCTTATCGATCACACGAAACGTGTCGGTAGTTTCTCGTTCTAACGAAATTTCGAAAACACGATCGATTTACCAGCAGCCGAGACGCGAACACCGATCTTCCAACGGAATAACAATTCCCTGATACTACAGCTACCACGCTACAAGCAACCGACACGCTTCCTTCAGCAATATTCTAATTTCGACTTATATGAACAAACATGTAGTCTTCTAGAAGTAATAGAATAAAGCGTAGAATAAATGTCCGTAAATCTAGTGTTAATGATTCCAGTAAAACTTGTTTATTACGCGTACGATGGAATATTCAAGCATTTCATTAGCTACCGAAGCATCCAACGCAAACATCGAGCTTTCAATAAGGAACTGTAATTTCATTTATCATCGGCAGTCGTAGGCGAGTGACATAATCCCTCGTACACAATAAAAATTTAATTTTCACGGGGATACAACCGAACAAGATGCAATACAGATAAAACAGCATTAAAACAGCAGAACGTTATACAAACGCGTGTGTCCAAAAGGAAGCAAACAAAAGCAGGCTTCCTCCGCGAATGATCTCGACGGAATAAAACAGAATTAGGCGTCGCCGGGTATCGCGCGTCTCGTTAATTCCTCGAATTTCTTATCCCGCCGTAAAACAACATAAATCTCCGTGTGCCCGATAATCCTCGCGATAAATCTCGGCATTCCGGTATCCGTTTTCGCCGAACGAAATCCTCCGATTTTATGGGATTTTTACGGCCGCTGGTGCGGCGACGTGTTAATCGAGCACACCCATACCGGACTTACAGCCAGAGCGAAGTGTATTTTGCAATCTGCTTCGTTTAATCATCCCGATCCCGGGATCACGCGGCCCGTCGACTCCGAAGACTGCGGTTGCAGCGAATGCGAATTCGGGCGAGCTCTGATTCTGACACAATACGTCGGAGCAAACGAATACAGGGATCCCTGAGAGTGTGTGCACAGCGATCTTCAGATGCTAACCAGTTAACTGTGTCTAACGAGTAGAACTCTCAGCTTGGAACCCAAAGTAACACTAATTCCTTGAACAATCAACTATTTACTTTCTCATTTTAATATACGTTAGTTGAATATAAGCTTCTGTCCCGATTTCGAGGAGTACACTCGTCAGTTTATTCCATCAGCCACGAAATTTTTCAAACTAAATTCCACAGTTAATGCTACAAAATTCAAGAATTCGCGTCCACTATACCCACATCCTGAATACACATTACTAACAAGAAGTCTCTCATGAGAGCAAATAAACAGTCATAGTCTACATCCATATATTTTGTTCATACTATCGATTAATACCCATACGATTCCACCCACGACCAATTCAACATCGCAAACGCATACGAAAACAATCGCCGATTGCCAATGAAACCCGCATTCCTCCCAGGCGCCAACTCGCCTGCAACGCGGCGTACGTGGGAGCTGGCTGGATCGTTGCTCGGTAGCAATTTTGAAAGCCGTGAAAAATCGATTCGAGGCGGGCAGGAAGCTGGCCCCGGCCGGCGGGTTTCTTCGGCGCGCTCGCCGGGGCGTTCCGTGAACAAACATTCGACAAAAACCGAGCCGTGCGTGTAGAGGCCGTGTAGCCGATCGGGCGTGCGAGCCTCCCGATATCCC